CAGAAAGGACAATTCCTCCTCAACCAGTACCAATGTATCTTGATATGTAGGTTCTTTTTGGTAGATAATACAGACCTTGTTTAATAGTAGCAAGGACAAAGCTGGAAGTCTCAACCAATTGCCATGACCTTTTTAATGAAACGAGCATTTATAGACCTTCTACCATGATCTTCAAATAATGGTTATTCTAGAATATAAGGAGGAGCAGGGCATGGTGGCGCACACCTGTAATCCCAGCGTTTTGGGAGGCTGAGACAGGAGAATAGCAAGTTCAAAGCCAGCCTCATCAACTGCAAGGCACTAAGCAACTCAGTGAAACCCTGTCTCTAAATAAAATACAAAATAGGGCTGGGCATGTGGCTCAGTGGATGAGTATCCCTGAGTTCAATCCCCAGTTAAAAAAAAAAAAAAGAAATATACTTCACATTTCTTCCTCTAATTTCACATATTTCTTCACGGTTTGCCCAAAGAGAAGCTCACAACTATGGGGATTTTTAAATCACACAACTCATAATTGTGAGTCACTGGCTGATTCACCCTATAAAGTAGCTAAACCTCTCATCTTATAACCCAGGCTTTTAATTCCTCCAATGGCAATTCGGAAGTGAGCTTGCAGCTGTTTTATATCACCATTATTGTTAGTTGTTAAAAACATGTCAGGAGTTTTGTTTTAGGGTGTTGCTTTTTTTTTTTTTTCACAAAGCTTACACTGAAATAAGAGCTTGCCAGAGATTTATAGTAGGAAAGCAATGTTTTAAACGGGAGTTGAAATTTCAAGTTAATGTTTTAATAATCATGTCTTCATTTGGCCCTGTTTCACTTGAGTTTTAGTCCAAAAAATCATGTCTTCAAAATATTCTGAATAAATCAAACACCACCAGCAACATGCAGGAAAAATTATGAGTTTTATTGGGTTCTGAAAAGGCTTTAAGAGCAAAACAAAGTAAGTAATCCCACTTGACTTGCAGAGCAAGAAGAAAGCCCTTTTATAATGCAGTCAGGCACCTCTGAACTTTTGGGCCAAAATAACAAATAATTAAAAATTGTATCTAGTCTTCCCCAATTTCCCTGTCAACACCTCAGGAAAAGAAGAAACGCCTAGCTGACTCTGGCCATTATTAATCTCCTTCTTTCCTGAGGGCCGGCATCTATTAAAATTGGGTAATTCCAGCTTTGTTTCTGAGTAGGAAATGGGAGAATCCCTTCTTTCAAATCCTCACTTCTGTTTAAAGGTGTCTTTGGGAAGAGTTTGGCCTCAAACACCTCATAACCTTGCTGCTCACTGGTCCCTCCCTGGGCATCACCAGCTTTTCTCCAAGAGCTCGTGAGAAATGCAGAATCTCAGGCTCCACCTCCAATGCATCTGAATTTTAATAAATTCCCCAGGTGATTTATATGCACTTTTATGTTTAAAAAGCACTACTACCACACTGTTTCTGCATAACCTGTTTAAGAGACTTTTTACCTGTGAGCCACCAAAATGGATAAACAATGTTGGATTCCTTTTCTTAATGTAATTTAAATGTTTCATTCCATTACAAAATAGCCCTACCAATCCTTTCCATGCAGCCTATCCCTCAACAGCTATAAAAAAAAAAATAGTAAAGTCCAGGATTGGTATGGCCTTCACGGATGCTGCGTAACTACTAAATTAACAGTTCTCATCGATCAAATGCCTGTAACCAATGACAGATGTTTTGCCAGGCACTATTCTAATCTACATTAACTTACTCGTACCTATAACTCTTGCCTATATTAACTTACTCATTCCTCAAAACAATCCCAAAATATAGATCCTATTATTGTCATTCCCATTTTAGAGATGAAGCAACTTGATGCACTAAGAGGTCAAGTAGCTCATCTCCAGTCATGAAACTAGACAAGCCACAGAGCTGGGATCTGAAACCTATCCCAGAGCCCAGACACCAAATGCTTGGGTTACTGCATCTCCGCTCCTCACCCTCATGATGGTGCTCCAAGGTAGCTGTTGTGTACATATTAGTGCACTCTCGCTGCTTGCAAACAATGAAGCAAGCCTCTGTGTTTCCCTTATTTTTTCATGCTGTCTTCTACCCACCTACCATCTTGCAAATTTCCCAGCTATTCCTAATAGACTGGCTATGAAGTCCCAGCTTGGTACAATTAGAGTCCTGAAGTTCAATTCCCTGTCAGTGATGAGGTAGAAATACTTTGCTTCACACCTCCAGTCCTATCTAACATGCATATTTTATGTACATCTAGCATGGCGTATTCTACAGGGCTGGGCTTTCAGCCATGTTGATATATGAATCTTCCTGTATGCAGGTCAAACTCTGCACATGTGCTTAAACAGTGTTCTAGGGAGCAGGTATGACTACCAAAGTGATTACTCTGGAGGGCTTCCGTACTCCCTCACTGGAAGCCATATTTTAGTCATTAGTATTCTGGTCAGACAGGAAACTTCCCTTGCAGAGCTGTAGTAGAGGGGATTGCAGCTTTGTGCGCTATAAATAGTGATTTTATTAAAATGGAGAAAAATTGTTGAGAAACAGAAAAGAGTAGGGGTAGGGAGTTGCCATGGCAACTCAACCATGCCACAGCTTTTAAAAGAGTGGGGAAGACTAAGGAATAGTAAATAAAGGAAAGGAAATAGAGGATGTCTCCATGACACATGATTGCAGATGGAATGAGGCAGCTCAGAGAGAATAGCTTCAAATTGAGTGATGAGCTGGGATTAAAAGGGTGGACCTCACAAGGGACCCTCCTCAAAGAGCAAGGAGCCTGTCAGAAGCAAATCTTTGTCAATGGCTTTACTGCATGGCTCAGCCATAGAGGCCACCAAACAACTCAGACCTTGACAAAGCATGAGCTGGGCGTGGTAGCACATGCCTGTAATCCCAGAGGTTCAGGAGGCTGAGGCAGGAGGATCACGAGTTCAAAGCCAGCCTCAGCAATTTAGCAAGGCCCTAAGCAACTCTGTCTCTAAATAAAATATAAAAAGGGCTGGGATGGGCTGGGGTAGTGGCTCAGTGGTAGAACGCTTGCCTAGCATGTGTGAGACACTGAGTTTGATTCTCAGCACCACATATAAATAAAATAAAGGTCCATCAACAACTTAAAAAGGGGTAGGAGGCTGGGAATGTGGCTCAGTGTTTAAGTACTCCTGGGTTCAATCCCCGTTTAAAAAAAAAAAAAAACATTTATGGATAAATGAATATCCCTTACAAAGAAGCAAGAATGTCTCTCTCTCTTTCCCTGCCCCTCCTCCCCCTCGTTCATATTTTTAGATAATGGTTCTAGAAACACCATTTTTCATCCCCAACTCCTGTTCCAGGATTGTTGATTGACTCTGGACTGATCAAGAAAGTCCAGGAGCCACCAAAACTCCACTCGTACCATAAGACATTGACTAATTCACATATTAAAAAAAATCCAAATAGATTACTAAGGAAAACTAGGATAAAAGGATAACCTTTATTCAGCCCATAACAGGTGACCAAGTACTTACACATTATCTCACTTGATGCATGAGAGCCGCCACAGCAATCTGGGATTACTTCACTCTACAGTAGCCCAAGAAACCTGGTGAATACAACTCAGACTGAGAAAAAGTAATTATCTCCCACATGCAAGTTTCCTCCTCCCTCCTGGAGAATGGATTCAATGCTGATGGTTTACTGGTTTTCAGTCTATCTGATCACACATTATGACAGCTTGAACAATGCACTCTTGCCATTAATTAACACTTCACACACGCATTAGCCTGTGTGTGACAGAGAGAGATATGGCCATCAGCAGTTCTACATCATTTCCTCCTAAAAAGGAGAGATAAACAAAGGATCATCCAAAACTCTTTTATCTTATTTATTGTTATTTTTTGGTACCAGGAATTGAACACCAGGTATGTTACCACTGAGTTACGTTCCCAGCCCTTTTTATTTTATTTTTATTTTATTTTATTTTATTTATTTTTTGAGATAAGTTCTCACTAAGTTGCTTAGGGGCTTGCTAAATTGCTGAGGCTGACCTTGAACTTGTGATCCTCCTGCCTCAGCCTCCCAAGTCACTGGGATTATAGGTGTGCACCACCCTATCCAGTCCAAAAGTCATTTTTTAAGGACTTTCTAATGCACCAAACATATTAGATTGTGGCAGAGGCTACTAACAGATGTTTGAGATACATTTTAAGTGATATTGCATTTTCTCCCACACTCTGAAAGGAATAGCAAGGGAAGCTAGTTAGGGGGAAAGGAGGATGGGACGAAAACCTGGCTTCAGGTCACCCACAGATGACCTCGCCAAAGTAGAGAGCCACGATGCAGACATCTGGGGTGCAATATTCACTCCAGCTGACTCCCCTGCTGGATGAAACTCAGGCTCAGGGTAGGGTTCAAGAACACTGACCTTGTGACTGAAGGAATGGTGCCACCTGAGAGAAAGTTGCCTCATGAGGCACAGTAGGGCCTCCTCAGGCTGGAAGACAATGAAGGACAAGAGTCTGGGTGAGATGACAACGGTGCTTTGTCACCAGACCCCTGAATGCTGTTCCTGAGGTGCACATTTACTGGGGGAGGTAAATTGGGAATGAATGAAAGGAAGTGCTATCGTTTGACTGTCCCCACCAAAACTCCTGTTAAAATCCAAACCTCATTATGAATAAATGTGATTATGTTATTTAATCCTCATTGTAATAAGAAAGTGGAAACTTAATCAGAATGTGGTATTTGAAGGCAGAACCTCTAGGAGGTAAAGAAAGTTAAAGGTGGGGTCCTCGCCTCAGAGAATTGTGGCTTTAGAAGAAGAACAGCAGAGCGCAGAGCTAGGGGATGTCCTCTCTTGCCCTGGGATGCTCTCCAGGTCCCCACCCGCAAGAAGGGGGCTTGCTAGATGCAGCTGTTCAGCGTTGAACTCCCCAGCCTTCAGAACCACCATGAGAGGCATAAACCTTTATCCTCTGTAAATTACTCTTGTCTTTGAAATTCGATTATAGCAACCAAAAGACAAGCTAAGACAAGAAGTAGTCAATTTATGGAGTTCATTATCCAAAATGTGATACAGATTACAGTTGTAAACAGGTTTCAAAGGCGTTTAGATAAATTCACATGAAACGAACCCAGAATAAATTATTAAGGGAAACTAGGACAAAAAGATAACATGCATTCAGCACTTTTCAGGTTACCAAACATTTACGTATTACTTATTCAATCTCTAAGACATTCGAAAAGGTAAGTACTAGGTCATCATTTCAGATAAGATCACTAGAGGCTCAGAGAACACAGGCCACACATTTGAATGGTGCATCGATTCTCTTGATCTGATATTCTCAGTATTCCATCAGGTTGTTTTCTGAGGAGTGGGGGTGGGGCTGGGCAAGATAGTCACTAATTTGGGCAAACTGGCTACAAAGCTGTAGTGAAAGAACCTGTGGTTCTGGACTACTCTGTGGCTTTGACTGAGGGGGTTGGTAAAGGCTCTGATATTCATAACAGCAAAGTGTGAAGCCACGACTTGGAGAGTTTCCTATGCTAATGTCAACCACGAAACTGTGCCATGAAACCCACACACTTCCCCTCGCCCCACCCCGGCACAAAGTGCTGCCTTTTCCCTAGCTTTGTTATTGTCTTCTCCCCCTAAATACACACACACACACACACACACACACTTCTGTTGCATCCCAGTCCCCTCTTTCTTTTCTCTTCTCATAGCTCTTTTGCTTAGTTACACACAATCTTTGACTTCTACATCAGCTTTCCTTATCTATTTGAAGAAAATTTTTGAACATCTTCCCAGATAAATTCCAGAGCCCAGACTACCCAACGACTCCCACTGAGGATCTGAGAAAATCCATGTCGTCGTGATAGTTAATATTTACTGAGCACCTACTTACTACTGTGTGCAGGGTACCAGGATAATATCTCTCATGCATTCAGATTTCTAAATGCCTCATGTAGTCCTTGCAGTCACACAACCACCTTGGGAAGCGTTACTATGTGAATTATGCCGATAGAATCTGAGACAAAGATGAGTCAGCAACTCACAGAAAGTCACATGGCGAGGGTCGTGCAGTTAGATTCCTGTGAGACTTCCACTTCACAACTTTTGCCTGACTTTTCAAATACGCTTATATCATCTAAGATGTTTACCTCAAGAATAAATGTTTCGTATTAAAATATTTTCAACAACTCATGTTTGTAATCAGATAATTCTATTTTATAGTATTCTTAGTTTTCTTAGGGATTGGTTTATATAGGCCCTCTCCTCTTCTCCATGCTACTAACATCTACTTCTTAATTTCCTGGCATCTGGCAACTAACCAACCTCTTCCTCTAGTTCTCTTTTCTGAACTTAGTTTATGCAACAGGAAGACTGACAGGCCCTGGGGAGCTTAGAGGCTCATCTCTCCTCTTATTTCCACAAGCCTCTCAGGTGTTCCCACAGTCCTTTGAGATACCTCTTCCTTGCACTGCCATGTTCTCTGCCCATCCCGGAACCCCATGCAGAGGCGGTCAGATGTAACCAGCAGATTCCAGGCGGTCCTTCCCCATGTCTCCTTCACTTGGACTTCTCCATATCATCATGGCTTCCACGATGCCCAACGGTCTTGCTTTCCCCTCATGAGCAATTGTTCCTCTTTCATCTTCCTCTGGCTCCTCTTGATTTGCCTTTCCCCTTGGTGTCCCATCTCTAAGGTTCAGCCCCCCACTCCTCTACTTCTGCAGTTCTTCACAAGTTATTGCACACATCCCAATGGTTGGACTCTCTTTGTAGCTAACTCCCCAAAGCCATATTTTAACCCATCGCCTCTCTCTTTAGCTCCTCCGCCACTTCCAGCAAACTGCCAGTCACTGCCACGGGGATGACTTGTTGGCACTTCTCATCCAAGCTGTCCAAGCAAAGCATTTTTTTCCTTCCATTGAAGCATCCCCTTCTTCTGATATCCCTGTTCCTAGCAGATACCACTGTGGTTTTAGTCACCCTGGAAAAAAAACAAAAACAAAAAGAAAGAAAACATCAGCAATGACCAAACCAAACAACAATTAAAAAAAAAAAAAAACCACACCTATACCGTCATCTTTGATTCCTCCATCTTCCTCACCCACGATATCCTATTAGTCTTAAAATATAAAGACATTCTACTGCCACATTCTTATAGCTTGTTCAGAAAATCTCGAGTGACCTTCCTTTGCCTGTTGATGAAATGCCTGACTTTGCATCCCACATGCTCCATTGGTAGCCCAAAGCAACCCTTCTCTGCTGGTCTGACTCCACTCCATTTTCAAACACATGCCAAGCTTCGTTGTCTCCCCATTCTGATTCATGCTACTCTTTTTTTATTTGTTTTAATTAGTTACACATCACGCTACTCTTAATACCTTCTTCTCTGACCCACAGGAGGGGTTTCCTCACCGCCCCACCCATGATTTAATGAGTTTTCTGCTATAGTTTGGATCTGAAATGTCCCCCAAAGGCCACAGGTTGTCATCTTTCAGCATTAATAAGAGGTGGTGGCATCTTTAAGAGGTGGGGCCTAGTGAGAGGAAGCTAGGTCACCGGGGGCATGCCCTTGAAAGAAATAGTGAGACTCTGGCCCCTTTCTCTCTCTCTTTCTCCTTGCCTCCCAGCTGTCTTGAAACAAGAAGTTTCCCCCATCATGCACGCCCACCATGATGTACTGTTTTACCCAAAAGCAACTATGGACTGACTGCAAAACTGTGAACCAAAATAAACCTCTCCTCTTCTTAAGTTGATTATCTCTGATTTTGTCACAGTGACAGAAAGCTAACACAATTTCCTAAATTGTTGAGGTATTTATCAAGCTGCACTCTTAGTTTTTATATGAATTTCACCTCCTGTAATAGGATAAGGTCTCAATGCCTCAAGCATCTCTTCCTAACAGCTGCCCAAGCCTTACACATGGCAGATCCTCATTATTCATTTGATGGATTAGATGGAATTGGGTCTCAGCCTAGGAACCATCACGTTTCCAAGACCTCTTCCTCTCTTTAAATCAGGAAAATATTCTCTTCCTTATAACTTATTTGGGTGTCTGTTTTCTCCTATGACCTGGACATCTGCTGTTTGCCTCTGCCAACAGTGACAAATGGGTCAGATCTTTGGAAAAATGGTGATAGCTACTGAGCCCTGTCTGTGTTCCAGGCACTGTCAGAAGAACAGACATATTTTAATTTCTTTAAACTTCTTAGCAACTCTATGAAATAGGCACTTCAATCCCCTTTTACAGATGAGGAAACCTAAGCACTGAGCATTCAGGTGGTATTTCCAAGCTCAAACAGCTAGCATGGACAGAATCAGATTCCCACGCAGCACTAGAGCTGTGGGCTCCCACCACTATGCTATAAAGATATGCAGATTCAATCCGGGAAGACTTCCTTGTAGATTTTGATGGTGCAAATCTCAAAACCCAGAGCCCAGGTTGGTCTTCATGTGTTTGACCAAACCAATGTTAGTGTGTGAGCAGTGGAATGGGGTTGGGTTTGGGGGTGGGAGTAGCAACCTCTGTTTGCATCTGCTGCTTAGATTTATTAGTAATTTCCAGCATAACTTTCTGAGAGAAGATAGAACTTTCCATGACTTTATTCTCACACTGCCCTCGAATCCAGGGCTCATCATAGTAGGTGACCCACACTTTCAGGACTGAATAGAATTTCTTGGATAAATCAGCGTGCAACCCCTACCTCCCTTTTAATGCTTCTGCCGTCTGCCCCCACTCCTCCCAGCCTCCTGACACACACCCACTCCCTCACGGAGCAGGTGCACTTCCGCAGAATGTAAGCAAATCAGCTCTGAATGTCAAAACAGGATTTTACTCAATTATTAATTGGGGGGAACCAGGAGAACAGCAAATAAATATCCATCCAAATGAGGTCATGCTATGAAGTATGTGCAGCCCTCTCTGATCTAATACTTAATGTAAACTTAACTGTCTGAACAGCTCTCCAGCTTCTCAGACACAAGCCAAGAGTCATCAGACATGGCTTGTGATAGATAGTAACGCAGCAGCTGTAGAGGTTCAATGCAAAGGCTAATGGCTAAATGAGAAGCTGTCCCTCAGAGACAGGTGCCCAGAGGGCAGAGGCTAAAAAGCTTTTCCAAAGAGGCCAATCTTCTCAAGCACAGGCCCAAAGCTTGAGCCCTGAAGTCTGTAGAATTCGGGCTGCCAGTGAGGATTTTGTGCAGGGAGGGCAGGCCCTGGACGAGCACAAGCCTCCTGCTTCTCAAAGCCCCTCATCAGTCAGCTATACGGGGAGACATAAACATCACCAAGGGCAGAGGCAGGTGGGCTGGTTATTGACAGCTGCTCTCTGGTTGTCATATATTTAGGTGTCAGGGCCAAAGAGGAAAGGGGAGGAAAAAGAGAGAAGTGGAGAAGAAGAGGGAAATATTCAGAGTGCGAAAGTCCCAGCTCCTTCAACTCACCCACTTCGTTTGCCAGTTCCTGGCATCCATGTCTTTATAGCACCATTCTCAGATTCCGGCAGGCTGCCTTCCTGTGGCCTCCAGAACTGGCGACCCTTCCCTTTCTCATCCAAGTTTGTGCCCAGCATGTGTGGCACACCAGGCCACCCACCCCTGGGTTCAAGACCTGTAGATCCCCTGCTTCCTCTTCTCTAATGACTCCCTGAGTGTTAGGATGTGTCTGCTCTTAACTCAGCATCCAGACTCCAGACTCTGCTCCCAGAGCCAGGAAGTACATGAATCAGTCACTCCAAGCAATTCCAGCAGAGGGCTTCTCAGGGCCCAGTGGGAACCAGCCACAGAAGTCTCTTATGGGGCTGGGTTCAGACCACCCGAAGGGCACCCATGCCACCCAGGCTGCATGGAGGGGCAGACCTCGAGTTCAATCAGGTCCCTAGATGCTGGAACACTCTATCACCCACTAAGGTACAGGTAGGGGTTAGGCTGCCTTGTGGCTCTCAGCCTGCAGAGCCGACTGATGAGCAGATGCCAGTTCTAAAGGTAGGAAGTGCTGACAGTGAACACAAAGCAGTCCTGCAGCAGAGAAGCAAGGGGCAGGAAATGCTCCCACTTCCCAGTCAGCCAGGGCTGGAAGCCCCACTTCACCCTGAGTGTGCTTCAGCTGCCACGTAGATGCACGGACTCTACGTGGCACATTCTTTCCTACTAAATATCCTTCCAGATTAAATCTGATTTTTGAGCATCAAGAGCAGCCCTGCACCAACACCTTTGACTTGGTCATCGGGAAGGGTCCAGGGAGAATTGACCCATGCCATGTATTTCAGAGATTCTTGGTGGCTGTCTCTCACTCTCTGTGGTCCTAGCTTCTGCCAGGTTATACTGTCTCTAGTCTTGGTGTCAGTAACGGAGCCCACAAGTCTTTATGAGATGACCCTCTCTGCTACTGGACGGCTCCCTGGCAGCCAAGAATGGGTGAGCCCTACCCCAGGCCTCACCCTGTGCTACCACCTCTTCCACCATCCATGCGTTCTCTAATCCTACAAGGTAAATATTGTTCCTAGTCCACATTCAGAAAAAGAAACTGTGTCTTACATTAAGTTGACTTCTTGTCTGAGTTCACAAGATGGCAAACCCAGAATTGAAATGCTGCAAGCTTGACTAGAACAGGGTTGCAAACTACAATATGTACAGAGGCCAGACATCTGGGCAGCAGTGAAACTATGCAGGAGTAAGAAACGTGCAGGGAGGTGGCACTGGTGGTGAACAGAGGTACAATTTTCTTATTCGGAGGAGGCAACTGCCCCACCAGATCCTGTTTATTGTTTCATGGCAGAATGTGAACTTAGGTGATCAGGTCTTCAATCTTTTCAAGAGAGGCTATGAATATGGATTGGTAAGAGCGTAGTCTCCCAATTTGTGTTGGTGGTGAGTGCAATCTTTGAAAGTCCCAGAGCAGGCCACCAATGGGTGGATCTCATAACCACCTCAGTGGGCGGGATTCCTGATGTTTGCCCCAGTGCAACTCAATTCCAGAGCTTGGGGTCTTAACCTTTGGACTTTACTGTCTTAAAATGATCAGAGAGATTCATTCTTTGATGAACAGTATTCTTCCCATCAATTCCATCTACTGGCCTCAGCTCTGGCATCTGAGGCAACAGATTCTCAAACACCATCTTCGCATCCTCTTCTTGGATTGAGCATGCCTAGCCCTGAAGCATTCTCCTCTTGGCCCAGTTTGCAGGACCTTTTCCATCTTGCCCCACAATTCCAAGCATGCTCCAACACATCTTGCCTGATCACATGACTGCCAAGATCTACTTTTTGGACATGTCCTCCAGGCCTGCTCTGTGCATGCAGAGGAAGGCAGGCTCTCAGCCCACCAGGGCTCATCTGAACATGAAGTCCAAAGTCACTGGGCTTCCTTCAGGGTCATCCCTTTAACACCTATGGCTTGTGAACCCACAGGAGGCTGAGCTTTCCTTCAGAGAAGACAGTCCACAGCACCAAGCATGCAACTTACTGAATCATAAAACAAACCTCATTCTCCAGTACCTCTTTCCCAATATTTGGAGGATTTTCCCATGATTCATCATGCCTAGTGGAGGATTCATCTCTGTTTCCTGTACTGAAATTTTCACTGCCCAGAACATCCACGTGTGTAGACTACAAGCCTGACCTTTACTTCATATAGACTGCAAAAAAAGCTGAGGACTCCTGGGTCAGAGGAGCAACTCTGATAGCACAGCCCAAAGTCTCCACCCTCAACGAAAATGAGCTTCACTCACTGCAAAGTGGGCAGCTCCTTCGGTTTCAATCCCACCTCCCAACTTCCCTTGTGAAATAAGGAACTGCAAATCTGGTGAACTGGTGGAAACTGAGAAAAGCAAAGTGGCCTCTCTTCTATTCTCCCTCTGCCTTCTGGCCCTTTCTTGTAGCCTCTGGGGCTGGGGCTGGGGCTGAGCTGAGCAGCTGGGTTTCCCCCACCCCCCCCCGGTGGTGACTCACAGATGTAGTGTCTCTGGCACAGATTCTCAGAAA